ATATATATAATGTTTTGACCAGATCTTGAAGTAGTTCGATTTTCACTCAATATTTGCCTATTGCGACCATTGACGGAGGATAATGCCAGCTTGATTCTTTGAGCCAGTGTTCATCAAACTAATTGTTGTGCTTTCCACTAGAGACTCCATCCTTTTTCTTGTCGATCGGTTTTATGAAATTTCTTTCTCCCATGTCAAGATAAACCTCCGAAACTAAGTTAGCAAAGTTTTCAAGATGTTATTATATAAGCTCTAGCTCGGAGATAAGCCATGTAGCTAAGGCGGTCGGCTATCGCGAGGTCGAAAAGGTCGAAGCGTTAATGAGTATATTGATATCCCACGGTCCTAATTACACTGGTGCCTTTGAAGTTAAATTTGTTGCAATCTTATCAAATGGGAAACCACACACTGAGTGCTAGCCTTTTTGCCTACTCATTCTTCCGCGCAGCAACTGCAGTAGGGGCTGATCTTTTTAAATAGCAGGAACCTGAGATTGATTTTTACACCACCCGCTGTCCGCGGGTGAGGCATTCATTGGCCGAAGGCTCCAGTTGTGAATTTCTCAAGAAAACTCACCTACTTTGTCCTGGACAACCTTGCGGTATTTTGCCGATAGAAAAACAACGACCTTTATGTTTGCTATTGTACCATATAAATATATAGTCGCTGTTGATACATTTCCAATTACCTGAGCTATGCATATCAAAACACTGCAACTATTTTGTTGTCAAAGCGGTCACTTTCGTTTTCTACAAGACAATGTCTCTCATTGCAGACTACGCGTCCTAATTAGTTTCCAGTCTACGGTGTTGACTTTTACTTACATCGATTTGACCGGTCTCCGTTTTTAAACCGCATTAGAGCCCGCTAAACACGTAATCAAACGCGTAGTCAATCGCACTCGTCTGTTTAATTTAGTGTTTCTCTTTTTGTCTCAGATAAACTTCAGTCTTCAGCTGACGGCATTTCCTATCTCTTCAAACTTTCATTCGTTCCGTAATCAGTCGGTCAGAACTAGTGCGCCAAGCTTCAAGGTTAATTAATTTGCAAACTGATAGTGACTCTTCTTGTTTGCAGTGTTTTGCACTAAGCCGCGGTTCGATTATTCGTTTGTATATCTTTCTTTGTTTTATTTAGCTTCAGGAGGAAATTGGTGTAGATGACAGCGTTATAGCGCTGCTACAAGAAAGAGCCATCCAACTCACTGCCGAGCGCAAACGTCGGGGCAAAACGGTTCCCGAAGGACTCACAAAATCCCGTACAATCTCCGAATTCCAACAACTCGCCAGTCATGTTGGTCTTCACTCTGCGAGCATGCCCGGGATATTATCACTTGATATCAGCAAGGCTTCTCCTGATCGAGTCGTCTCCGGTGGAAACGATAAAAATGCGGTGGTGTTCAACCTGGCATCTGCTCAAGTAAGACCGCGCATTTCGTACTTTGATAATTTGTATTTCGACGTGCTTTGGACCCTGTGGTCCGAGGTTCAAGCCCCGCCTTCCTCCCAACTTTGGTGGTAGTCAGCTTTGTNCCTAGCGGTGGTTCGCCACTCCCGAGGCTCAGGTTGCCGGTTACCATTGAACAGCAGGTCTCCTTGACTATGGGGTCCGCCCCGTCTTCTGTAATAAAAAACATCCATAGCGATATATTTTATGACAGGAAATATCTCCCTTTTTACATTCAGTTATTAAGTCTCGTGATTTTAGAATTCTTCCCTTTTAACCATAAAAATACAATTGTGTAACAGAACTATAAATGTAGCATCGGTCATTTTCTTTGTTCTTATCATCTAATCCACAGCTTCAAAATTATTTAACGTGGTGCTCGCTTTCTGGTTATGGCAGTATGAATTAGGTTAGCCGCAGTTTTGTTAGCCCCGATTCGACACTAGGCATCGCACATCATTATACAGCGAAATACAGTAAAGCGAACTTCACCAATCGCTGCCAAATCCACAATGCATGCAAAGTGATACTAAGATAGATAGAGTTTGGGCCCTTTTGGGGAACGAAACATCACGTCGTCGCCACAGGTGTTTTAGTTCGGCGTACACTGCTCGAGCCTTGGAAATAGGCGCAGTTCTCTTTCCTTGCGCTACTGTCGTTGATCGCATAATCGCCCAAGTACAAGAAGTAGCCAATCACTAACCAGGAAGTTTCAGAACAGGACTTGTGGATACCCAGTCTTGCAGCACCGCTTTACACTTTGAGGTTGCAAAGCACAAACCGAACGGAGCAACAGAACTTGTTGGTCCATCAACTACGCTTTGGGCGTCTTTCGTACATTTGAACAGGTAAACGATGACGTCAGCCTACTCTGGAAACGGTGTAGCTTTTCTTCAGCTACCCAGTCAATACCAGTGTTTTGGAGATCACTTAGCTTTTCCCCCAGTATTTCGTCTACGACGGAACCGAACAGCATTAACGAACCATGACACCCTTGCTTAACACCGTTGCTGATTTCGAACAATTTGCCCAGCTCATCGTTGACCTTGCGCCACCAGAAGTATGCGAGTACAGTGACCGCAAAGTCTTCGAAGTTCAGCGGTATCCCTTTTGGAAGAACCGAACCCATTAGGCTTCGCGCTCAGCTGAGTCGAAGGCGCCTTTCAGATCAAGAAACATCTCAATGGTGTGTATGACGCAATTCGAGAACTTGATGCAACGCAAAGATTTCGTCGATACAACCACGAGTTGATCGGAATCCTCTTTGTTGTCCGGCATATCGATCTCTCTTGGGGTCGTCAGATGTTGAATTATGGCGGGGNCACCTTGTTGGCGATTGATATCACACATCCCGCTGTGGTTTGCGCAGTGATTCACTTCTGGATGAAGAAGTGCGCTATGGTGACCAAGTGTTACACAGCAAGTTAGTATTGGAGTCTGCCAGATCATCGCCCCCTATTTTAAAAAGGGTGGGAGGAAATCTATTTTCAAAGCTTGAATGCAGAACCGGAATTCTGCTTCTGTACTTCCATGTGATACTGCCTACAGAGAATCAGCTTTAACAGTGCCAGGCTAGCTGGACTGTTCACCGAAATACTTCACCCAGCGGTCAAGCCATTGATTCTCATTATTATTATTTTTTATTACACACCTAAGTGTGTTGAACAGCAGACGGGACGAACCCCATAGTCACGAGAACTTGCTGTTCAGTAATGGTAACTGGTTACCTAATCCCCGGGACTCGGAGTGGCGAATCACATAGGTTAGGCGTGGTATTGAACCGGACTACAGCAAAGCTGCCTACCACTAAAGTCGGGTGGCGGTGGCGCGGTTCGAACCTCGGACCATAGGGTCCAAAGCATGCCGGTGACAGCGACTAAACCACTGCGGCACCACCACCCCAATATGAATGGCTTATTCACTTTTGTCGTAGAGGGTTCCACTAACCGGGGTTCACCAACCTCCGGTGTTGCCTATCCATTGGAAAGGTCCTTTAGTATTCCCGATGCAGCAGCTACTTCTGTTTCACTGGCTATTGTTGCTCACCAGTTCGCACGGTTCTTCTAGGGCTGATGCGATGAGCAGCTCGGTCTTGATTATCCTGCGCGACGACCGATGGAATTCTATATGGTTTGCATATGCATTGGAACTTGATGGACGGGTGCTGCTCCTACTTGAGTGAGCAGATACTCCTAGTTGATACCAGTCCTCAATCTGAGATGCAGGTTCCCCAGGAAATACGTTACTTCAAAAGACAGGCCTCCGGCCCAGGTGTGCTGTTCCCATCGGCTTTTAAGGATAGAGGTTCATCGTTAGTCTTGGGGTTCGAAGAAACTCCGGGGCCCAATGTGAGAGTGTGAACAGGTTCAAACTGAATGATGTGCCTCGGTCATCTTACCGATTTACAAGAAAGGTGACAGGTTCTCTTGTAAAAACCACGGGGGAATTAGTTTAATCAACGTTGCTTCTAAACTTCTCACTGGAATCACACTCCGTCGATTGTCCACCGCACGTGAAGGGTGCGTGCGTGAGAGTCATACTCGTTTTAGACCTGTTCGAGGCTGTGTAGACGACATCTCTCCGCCAATTTCTAGAGCGCCGACATCATCTTACAGCGAAATACAGTGAGGCGAACTTCACTGATCGCTGCAAAACTCGCAGTGCATACAAAGTTATTGGTAAAATTTAAGGTCGACAGGGATTGGACCTAATTTGAGTGAGGGGAAGAAGGTGAATCTCTATGGTCAACACAATCTAACTCTGCATACATACCTTTTCAAGCATTACTTGACAAGAAACGATAACAAGAACGCCACTGCTGTCGGTTCGCTGCCATATCCTTCAATGTCTCCAACCAGTCGGTTGTGGAACCTTTCGGACCCCAACCTGGGAGGCGTGAGACACCTACTCCGACATTCGGTTTGGAGACTCACTATATCTTGCTCAATCTGAAAGTATCCTTCGACTCGATCCATCACTCTAAACTGTAACGCTGCCTTTGCCTGAAGGGTGTGCCCGATAGGATTATTCCAATATTTCGATCCCTTTGTACTTATAGTCAAATCCAAGCTTATGACACTTTTTTTGCCCGACTTCACCCCAGAAAGGGGTGTTCCTCCGAGATTCTCTCCCCCTCTCCATTTCTATTTAACTTTGTTATGGATTTGATAACGGAGACAGCCCTATCCTCGTGCGAGGATAGTGACATCGATTTGCTCCCAAATGACAGACTGTCTGATCTAGAGTAAGCTGATGACATTTTACCGCTGAGGAAAGATCCCGGTAAGTTGCGAGCTTTTCTGGGTAGTTTGAGTGCCAACATAGTCATGTTTGGCATGCGCTTTGCACCTTCAAAATGTAAAATGTAAATTTAAATGTGTAAAATGCTAAAAGACTGGTCTGATCCAGCACAGCCTCACGCCAACTAGGGAAGTAATAAACAAAGTGGACAAGTTTTGTTATTATGGCAGTTATACCTCACCACGTGGATACTTCATGGATAAAGTACCAGCTCGCTATTGTTAACTTGAGAATTCGGTGGCACCGTCGCGACATCCGGTTGTCTGTAAAGTACCGAGTGTATGCCGCGGCGGTTCGGCCAGTCCTGCTATACTGCACAGAAACTTGGCATTGAAGAAAACAGGATAAATATAGATTGTCGGTGTTTGAACACCGCTGTCTACGCAGCATTGCACGAATCTGGTAGGGAAGCCGAAGGAGCAATACTGAGGTTGGGCATAGAGTTTTGAGTAACCGCAGTCGCCCACTGGAGCAAGTAGTCGACCTCCATAGATTACGTCGGTTGGGACATGGGTTGCCCACGCCACCAAATAGGCCGTCACGACGCGTGATGCTTGCCGAGGGTTGTCAAAACAAGACCTGGCACGAGGGTATGAAAACACTTGCCTGGAGACTCGGTCATATAGATCGCTTTTGACTTCCTGGATGAGCTTCTCGGGATCATTGTAATCAATGGTTGGAGACTGAGTAAGACAGCTGCGTATCGTAACCTATGGCGGTCGTGCATTCTCATTTTCTTTGCAACCTTAGATCCTTGAAATTCTCCATTTTCTGTTCGACTCTACTCGCAAATTTCCTGTCTTCTCCTATTCTTCATCCAAATAGGCAGCCAAAAAACAGCAACCAAAACCGGCGCACGAATGTGCATGGTTATCGGTTGTACAAAGTGAACTGAACCGAACTGAACCACATTCATGCTATTTGGAACTCATTTGACATCGAACGCTAATCCCTAGGTTAGGCTCCAATGAAACCGGTTATTCGTTCTACCGCTTAACGACTGGGCATCCTAGCAGTTTGTTTCCAGTTTGTACAACTATGAATCATGTGTTTGCGTGCGTCGGTTTTGGCCATCCATTCGGACGAAACAAGAGAAAGACAGGAAAGCTGAAAAAAAGAGTCGAAAAAGGAGAAGTTCAGTGGACCAAGGTTGAAAAGAAAATGAGAATGCACGACCGCCATAGGTTACGATACGCAGCTGTCTTACTCAGTCT